CTCTCTCTCTCTCTCCATCACACTCTACCCCGCGGTGGATACCAAAATCCAGGGATGCTTAAGTCCCTTATATAAAATGGCATCGTATTTGCATATAGGCTATAGCATGGTATGCCTACACATCACTGCATTCGTGTGGATTCAGTGTAGTACTTGGAGCATGGCAAGTTTGAATTTTGTGTTTTGGAACTTCCTGGGGGTTTTTTTTGTTTAAACTGGGGAACAATGTGTTTTTTCCAGGACCCATCAGCTACAAGTCAAGTTGTTGTCTTTCAATCCTAGTTGTGGAAGGCGCAGCTCAGCTCCAAGTCCAGTCGCTGTTTTCAATCTAGTTGCGGGGGCATAGCCCACCATCCCATGCGGGAGTTGAAACGGGAACCTTGTTGTTAAGAGCACACACTCTAACCAACTGAGCCATCCGGCTGCCGCCACCCCCCACCCCCCATTTTTTTTCCCCCAAGTATTTTTTATTCACAGTTGGTTGAATTTGTGTATGTGAAACCCACAGATGTAAAGGGCTGACTGTATTTCAGATGATAAGTAAGATTTTATGAGACTAACCAAAAGAGATCTCAGGTCTCATTTTTATAGTGTTAAAGCTCCACACCCGCTTGCTTTGTGTTTCCTGTTCCAGAGACGGTTGTGTCTCCTAATGTGTGTGGATTTTTTAGGTACTTGGAAAACCCTTAGGGTAACAAATTCTTATATTGTAAGTTTAGCTATACAGAATATTCACTTAAACCAGATGAACAGTTGTTTGTCCTTCCCTTCCTCTTCATTCTTAACCTAAAAATGAAAATAAATAGCAACTCTTTCTTGTGGAATACTTCCTGGTTTGCATTGGTCTTCTAATTTTCGGGCAATTTAGAACTTTGTCAGAGCCCATGTGTTTACAGAATTACGTGGCATATTTTAGTTGTAAGATTATGAAAGTCAAACTCACTGAATTTTCATTCTTAATGGATTGATGGACAAATAGACTGGGAGACCCTGGTCCTCTATTTATGGAACAAGTGTTTAAAAAACAAAAAGAGGGAAAAAGAACAGGAGGGGCAATGTGGGGAGGGGCAGGCTTCTTTTCGCTAGTCTGTCTACGCGCTATGGCTGTGAGCTGGTTGAATTACCTCCCCCTTGGGTGAAAGGGAAGCTCAGTCTTTGCCGTTGACCAGTGAGTGCTAACTGTGATTGTGGTTTGGTGAACCAGACTCCAATTGAGCTCAAGTCAGCATTCATTTCAAATACATTTAAAAAATTTTTTTTAACCCATAGATCCACTAAACTTGTAATAATTGAGAGATTGCTACTCCTGGCAGAACGCTATGTGATCACTATAGAGGTAAGCCTCTCTTCTTTTTAAAGCAACTGAATCGTCATGTTACTCGACTCTGGGTTCAGTGTGTATTTTTGAGATGTTTAACAGTGGAGCCCGTATCTGACTTGTTTGACTTTATATCTTTTTCAAGGATTTTTATTCTGTTCCACGAACTATTCTACCTCATGGTGCCTCATTTCATGGACATCTTTTAACTCTTAATGTTACTTATGAGTCTACCAAAGATACCTTTACTGTAGAGGTAGGTTTACCTTACGCTCTGCAGCCATTGTCATTTTGTCTTGTTATTTTTATAAGAACATGTTGATTAAGATATCTGTATGAGTGACTATTCCTAAAGCTGTTTGGTAAACAAATATAGAATAAAGACCTGAAATGAAAGGAAACTGATGGAGTATAAAGCAGACACATATGTAAATATGTGACATAATATCAGGTGGTGATGAGTGTTCTAAAGAATAAATAAAAATAAAGCAGGGTAAGTTGAGAGAGCAATGGGTATACATGAAGTACCATTTTAGATAAAGATAGACAGGGATGGGCTCTCTGAGGTAGTGATGTTTGAACAAAGACTTGAATGAAGTGGCAAAGTAAGCCATTTCTGGACAAGGACATTCCAAGCAAAGAGAGCAGCAGGTACAAAGGCCCTGAGGTAGGAGTTGGCTTGGCTTGCTCATGACCAGCAGGGTGGCTGGTGTGACAGTAAGAAAGGCAAAGAATGGAAGACCTGCAGTGGGAGAAGGTCTTGAGATTTTATTCCATGCATGAGGAGAGGGAATTGGAATAGGAACTAGAATGTTTACTTACAGCAGATGGGAAGCCTCGCAAGGACAGGGATTCTTGTCTTTGGTGTTTTGCTGTGTGCTCAGCTTCTAGAATAGTGCCCGATACACAGTACATGCTCACTAAAAGTTGTTGAAGTGAATGTGTAAACGAATTACTCACAACAATGTCTAATTTTATGTTACAGGCTCACAGCAATGAAACCATAGGGAGTGTCCGGTGGAAGATAGCCAAGCAGTTGTGCTGTCCTGTGGATAATATACAGATATTTACAAATGATAGTCTGGTGGGTTTAAATAAAAAGCTTGTGGCACGTGAGCCTGATAGGAATACTTTCCTCCTCCTGTCCCTCTCAGTAATTAAGAAACCACTTTTTGCAGCTGACAGTGAATAAAGATCAAAAGCTACTGCACCAACTGGGCTTTTCTGATGAACAAGTCCTTACAGTGAAGACTTCTGGCAGTGGGACCCCCTCTGGGAGCTCAGCAGATTCCTCCACCAGCTCCAGCAGCAGCAGCAGTGGGGTTTTCAGTTCATCATATGCCATGGAGCAGGTACTGCGTGCTAAATTTCCATTTTAAAACAAGATTTGAGTATCTTTTTGCCTTCAGCCCATAGAGATTTGGATGATTTTGTCCTTTTCTCTCAGACAAATCCTTCAGAACTGTATCACCGAGAAATGCTGGGCTTCTGCTGGGGAAAAGATACAGAATTTATCCATCTTCTGACCCACAGAATCTTGAGTCCCTGAATCATTCTGCCTGGCCGCTGCTTGCTGTTTCTCTTGTACATCTCTCTTCATTGATTCATCGAGTTTCCCTTTAGTGCGTCATTCCCATTAGCATTCACTCAGGCTGTGTTATTTCTACCACCTTTAGAAAAGCTTCTCTTCACCCCATTTCCACCTTCAGTTCTCATCCCCTCCTCTCCATCCCAGATCAGCAAAACTCCTTGAAAGAGTTATCAAAACTCTTTTGCAGTCATCCTTTCAGGCTTGTTTCAGGGTTATCTGTCACTTCCACCTCTTAGTCCTCATGTTCTTGACATTTCAGCAGAGTTGATACATGTGATCCCTTCCCCTTGAAATACTTTCTTCAGTTGGCTTTCAGATCTTTGTGTGACTGTGTTTTTTTAATTTAGAATAACCTTGCTATAGATGTCAAAGAACTCTTCAGGGTTAGTATTAGCGTTGTGGGTTTTTNAAATCCAGGGCATTAACAGCATAAGCAAAACAAAGTGGAAGATGATGAGTAATTAAAATTGTAAATTGTAATATAGTAGTTAAAATATTATTCATTTAAAATTATTTTTCAAAATAATTTTTAATGAGAACTTTATTCCCAGTATTTGTGATAAAACATTGAACTGATATTATCTCTTAATTAACATTGCTGTGTTCAGTGTTTTTGAATGTTATCAGCGAAATCTGAGTTCAATACTTGCTATAGTTCTTTGATATAGTAAAGAGAATAGATCATTAGTGAGTAACTTCATATTGAAATAACTAAAACACTTTTGTGAGGTTTTATGAGCCTTTCATTACTGGTAAGCAGCCCCAAATCAGCGATGCCGAGGAAACCTTGACAGGTATTCACTCAAGAGAAGGGCTCTCCCTCTGCACGTCCCTCTGCTGCCCTCTAGTGATGGCACTCATATAGTCTTTTTCAACTGGAATGACTATGTACGTGTGTGTGTGTATTTTTACTTACAGTTGGAGATATTCCTTTTCTTTTTAAAGCCTCCCTTTAGAAAATGAATCAAGGCAATATCCTTGCTCACATTCTCTTTTTTTATATTTTTTTAAAATGAGTTTGATACTGTGTAGTGATACTTTATTAACATGAAAGAAGGCAATAAAACTCAACCCTCTAGAACCTCTTTTTAAAATAAAAGAAAGTGATTATAGATTGAACTAATGGTTCAGGAACACTAACATGACTTTTACATTTCCACATTCTCAGAAGTGTATCTCAACTAGATTTTCATTAAGAATCTGTATTAAGAATTCCTGATTACATGTTTATAAGATGTAGCCCATCTCTATAACCTAGGTCCTTAATGATTCGTTTGTCTGACAAAC